CTGCAATGGATCTGGCTCCCAGCCAAACCAGGGATTTCAGCTCTTAGGCTATGTCTACACTGGTGGCTTCTTGTGCAAGAAGTCTTGCACAAGAAAACATCCACACTGCCATGTGCCAGCTGTGTTTTTGCGCAAGAGCGCCTATGGCAGTGTGGACGCTCTCTTGCGCACGAAAGCTCTGATGGCCATTTTAGCCATAGGGCTGTCTTGCGCAAGAAATCCCTGCCACGAGTCCACACTGCCCTCTTGCGCAAGAGCTCCTGCGCAAGAGGGCTTACACCTGTTAGAAAAGAGCATAACTCTTGCACAAGGAGCCCTCTCTTACCACGCCGTACTGTAAATTTCCTTGTGCAAGAGCAGGCGAGCAGTGTGGACGCTCTGCAGATTCTTGCACAAGAACGGCCGTACTTGCGCAAGAAGCCATGAGTGTAGACATAGCCTTCATGATTTCAACTCTTTAGCCATCACCTAGACTAGCAAAAGATTCCAGCTTCCACTGGACTAGCAAAAAGACTCCTTATGGAGTCTACTTCAGGACTGTCCTTAAACAAAAGGGGGAAAGAGGCAGGAAAGTACCTGGAGAAACAACAACAAAATTACTGCCTCTAGTAGTGAATACTTTAAAGATTTGCAGTACATTTAATAATGGTACTTATGCTAATGATATTTAAGGTTGAGTAGCTAAGTACTGGGGTCAGGATACAGTAGAGTCTTGATTATCCGACCTTCCTTTATCCAACATTCCGTATTATCCGACCTGCACTGTAAAATTGACGCCCAAAACAGCCCCAAATTATTTACAATACACCACATTCCATTCCAACACTGATCCTCCATCAGCCCTGGCTGAGTTGGATTTACATAACCACACCTCAGATTCCTTCCCCCTCCTGGCATGAGCTGTATTTACATATCAACAGTTAACAGTTAATTATCTTGCAGAGCTAAACAATTGGAGTGAGCACCCCAACCTCAGAGCAGCTCCCTCCTTTTAGCTGGCTGATAACAAGCAGTAGTTCAGCCCCTGCTTACACTAGCAAAATGGCTGGGGCATAATTATGTAATTAACAATGAGTTTACATTAGCAACTGATAGTCCACTGAAAGGTTTGCATTGACCCAGGTGGTCCATAGGGTGCGCAGTGATGAGAGACCGTTCCCACCTCCTGGGAGAGCGGCACAGCCCGGGGCAGGAGGGTTAAATCTTGGCACGCCTCTTCGGAAAGGTTGCTGATCCCTGAGCTAGCACATTCATCTTCTTTAGTCATGACAATGAGTAAATGATATTCATAGATGATCAGAGTCACAGTTAGAGTAGCTTTCAGTTCTTCTTCGAGGTGTGTCCCTGTGGGTGCTTCCTGTAGGTTTTTGTGTGCTGCTTTGCTTCTCATTGGAGAATTAATATAGCAGTGCCCTCAGTAGGCTGTACACATGAGGCAGCTGGCACATGCTGTTAGGTGCAGCTACACTGCATGCACAACTAACCAACCCCTCAGTTCCTTCTCTGACACTGTTGGCTTTGGTCGGAACCGAGAGGTTAACCCTCAAAGATCAGTTAGATTTTTAGTTGTAGAAATGAGATAGTTACCTGGTGTTCATAGTCTAGTTCACTTTCCCTCATTCCTCCATTCCACCATTCCTCCTGCCCTTTCCCCTCATTGTCTCTTGTTGGGCCCCTGGCATTTGTGTCTCCTCCACCCTTTGTGCCTTCCCCTTTCTTCTCCTGCTTTGGAGCCCTCCTTTCCCCTCAGCACAAACCCCTTCCTCTCCTCACCCACTTAGTTCTCCCCTTTCCCCTTCCCTTACTTTCTGCCATCCTGACACTTGCGCCTGCCAGGCGGAGCAGTATGGTGGGCAACTGCCCTGTGTGCCGGGGCTGGAGCCAGGGCCGCGGTGCTATTTTTAGTACCATAGCCCCAGCCCAGGTGCAGCTGTACCATGGGTTGGCTCCAGTCCCGGCACATGGGGCAGTCACCCGCCATACTGCCCAGCCCCGGGAACACCTGGGGCTGGGGCTGGGGCTCCATGGTGGCTGGTGCCAGGACTGCTGTACTAAAACCATGGCCCCAGTTGCTCCGAGGGGGTGGGAGGCATGGCAGGCAGCTGCCCCGTGTGCCAGGACTGGAGCTTGGGCAGCGGTGCTATTTTTAGTGCCTCAGTCCAGCCTCCGGCTGTGGCAGCTGCCACGCTGGCTGCATTGTGGCTGCCCATATGCTTCTGGGGGCGAGACAGCCACCTGCCTCCAGAAGCAACAGGGGCCACAGCTGCACGGCTCTGCTGAGGAGGTGGATGGGACTGAAATTCTTGGTGCGTGCCTGTGCAGATGTGCACCTTACAGGGAACCCTAGGCACCAGGCACATTCGGCACCAGGAAGGCCCAGGGAGCAAAGGACCCAACTCAGGTCAGCTTTGACACCTGTGCAAGTTAAAACTCCTTTGGCACTGACCAAGTCGCCTTCAGTTCTGGCATTGGCAAAACCACATGCTGCCTCAGCACTGAATGCCTCCATGCCTCCTAATGCACCACTGGCACATCCCAAACATTTGGCATCGATGGTACAGCCTGCCTTACCAGTGCTTCCTCTGGCATCAGACCTCTGGTACTGGAGACTTTCACCACCAATGCTGACTTATTAGTCACCTTGGTTCCCGGAACACCACCATTCAGCACCACAGCATGCCATATACCTCTCATTTTAGCTTGTCAGTCACACCAATTGGATCAGCACCTCTGCTTTTAAGTGATGAGAAAGAAGACTCCTTCCTGGGTCTTTACACCCCTAGACAGTCCTCACCAAGACCAACAGAGGAGCCACTGTGCCATCCAGTTTGCCTTATTGGAATCCCTAGACCT